GCAGGAGAGGCATTGGGGATGGGTAGGGTCTGTATAACAGGCTTCATGAGTTAACAGAGTGACTTGGGCTTTTGTTCTGAGTATGGTGGGAAGCTTTTTGGGGTTCAGAGAGTGGAGTCGCCTGATTTCACTTATATTTCTAAAGTACCTGATCTGGAAACAAATTGTAGAGGAAAAGCAGATGCAGAGAAGTCCATCATGGAATCAGTAAAGGGAGAGAGTAGGGGCTCACACTCACTGTGTGGGTGATATGAAAGTGTGAGATGTGATGTCAACTAAAAGGTAGACTCTATAATGTGTGGAAGGGTTGAATAAGCAGTGTGAAGGAGAAGAGTCAGGAATGAGTGTGTGTGTGTATGTGTGTGTGTGTGTGTGTGTGTGTGTGTGTGTGTGTGTGTGTGTGTTTATATACACATATACAAATATGCGCTAGTATAGAACAACTAGAATTCTTTCTGAGGCTGGAACTGGGTGAGGTGAGGAACTTGTCTGGAGTGCACAGGAATGGAATGTTTTAGAAGTAGCATCTTGTTTTGTACTGCCCCCCACCCTGCCTGCACCCCAGTTTTCATTGGCTTCTTTCGGTATCGCTGCAGAGATAGATGTATTCTGAGGACTAGCCAATATTTCTTGAATGGTTGCACCACTCTGGAACTAGCTCCCTCTGGATGGACTTCTGCATTGTCTTCCTCCTCATGTGTGGCTATCATCAGTGATGCTTAAATAGGTGTGTTTATCTACCGCTTCAGGAAAACAGTAGTCCTCCAATTTAGTGGCTTAAGAGCAACACTAATTATTTTACAGTTTCCGCAGGTCAAGTGTGATAGTACAGCTTAGCTGACTCTTAGGTTTAGGATTGCTTGAGAGAAGCATCTTAAGCTGCTTCTGACGTCCTCAGTGGTCGCCAGCAGGATACAGCTCCTAGCGGACCTCCATTCCTCACTTTCCATTAACTGGTCAGTCCTTTGCCATGTGAGTTTCTTGGTAGAACCACAACATGACAGCTATTTTTTTTTCAAAGTAAGCAAGAAAGAGTGGAAGAGTATTTGAACAAAATAGAAGCCACAGTTCTTACAGCCCAATCATCGAAGTGTTTCATCTTGCTGGCACTCAATCACTAGAGGGAAGTCACTAGGTCCACATTCACTAAACAGAGGACTACACTAGGGTATAGATGCTAGGAACAGAGATCATTGAGTTCCATCTTAGAAACCTGCCCGCAACAATAACCCTAAACACTTGTTTTCAATGGGTTTGCCAAGGGAACGAAAAGCACTTGAAGGGGTAGGGAACATGGCTTTGAGGGTAAGTGCCTGCTGCACATTATAAGGACCCGAGTTTGGATCTCTAGTCCCCAGGTAAAAGCTGAGCTTGACAGTGCCCACCTGTAATACTAGCACTGGGGAGCAAAGGCTGGCAGATTTCAGAGGCTCCCAGGCACCTGCCTAGCAGAAATGGTGAGTTCCAGGTTTGGTGAGAGACCCTGTCTCAAAAAAAAAATAATAATGATGATGATGTGGAGAAACAATTGAGGAGGTCACATCTTTCTCTGGCTGCCTCACACATCTGGATGTATAAGTGCACCACCGTGCACACATACACATTTTAAGATTTCATCTGGATGGCATGCTAGCCCACATTTGTAGTCTAACACTTGGGGAAGTGGAGGCAGGAGGACCAGAAGCTCAAGGTCATCCTCAGCTGTTAGACAAAGCAATTTTGAGGTGACCCTGAGAGCTATAAAACCCTAAGTTTTAAGAGAAAGGTCTCATATAGATCAGCTTTCTTTACAAAGGTTTCGTTCCAGACTTCCAGTTCATTTTTATTGGGTTTTTTTTTTTTTTTTCCTGCTATTTCCTCCTCTGAGGGGGAGAGGCCTCGAAAGAGGCTTTGACAAATTTTGTCACAATCATCTCAACTTCCTGGCTTTCTTTTTCCCACCCCTCCAAAATGTTCTAGAACAGGAAATAGTGGTGCGTCTTATGATACAAAAGTGTCCGCCAGTACATGCCATGCCTGTCATCTTGGTAGCTAGTCTAGGTTATGATGACCTGGGCTGGGCCATGAAAAAATCCTTGTCTTTACTTGTTTACTGGCTTTGGGTTAGATTTATTCCGTCTCCCTTGAGGAAGGGGATAAAAATCCAAGACTTGGCCAGGGAGTTAGGTGGGCCGGTGATGTCAAGGGAGACACACTCAGTCATCCTAAGTCTCATTGCTCTGGAGCTTCCTGGGGTCCATGGAGTGGGAGGCACGATCTTGTTAAAGGACCCTTCTCTGTTTACTCCAAAATGCTTGGAAGAAATACAGATAAGTGTAAGAATTCCCGCATTTTCTTCCCACACAATTTGAGTTTTGTAGAGCTAAATATATCCCAATCCTAGACTTAAGTAAGGGAATTGTCATTCCCAATGTCTATGGGTCATAGTTCAGTCTGCTATAGCTAAGTACCATAAGCCAGATGACTTTTGAACAACAGACATTCAATTCTATAGTTCCAAGATTAGGGTGTCAACATGGCTTCATTCTCATGTGGGCCTTCTTAGGGGCAACAGAGCTCTCTGGCATCCATTTTTATAAGGAAGCCAGCCCCATTTCTGAAGGGGGAGCCCTTAGGACATGATTACTTCCCAAAGGCCTCACCTCCAAACACTGCCACACCCAGGGTTAGGATTTTTAGTATGTAAAATTCAACGGATATTATTTACTGTGGCTATTAGATTAGTGCCTCACGTGAGGGCTTGGTCTCCTTTAAAAGCCTCCCAAATGAATTGCAAGCTGCCCCATCTCCTTCCTATTATCTGCAAGTTGTGGAGCTGGGGGTATTGAATGGCTTCTGATCAAGTTGGGGGAATGTCTTCATAGGAATTTTCATCAACAATCCCTGTGTAAGGGTTAACATTAGGTGGAGAAGGAGCTGTAATTTGCCACACATTCTGCTTTTGCCTTCTGCTTTGCAGTTTGGGCCTTGCAAGCCAAAAGGCCACGTGGCTCCTTTGGATAATGTTGAGTTTAAGAACCTAGGGTCTCAAGGTGTCTGTTTCATCTCTCCGTGGTTGCTCAGGAAGCTACTCTGGCTGACTGTGGCAGCACACACCTTTAATCCCAGTTCTTAGGCAAAGGCAGGTGGATCTCTATGAGTTCACGGCTAGCCTGGTCTATGCAGTGCCAGCTCCGTCTACGGAGCAAGTTCCAGGCCAGCCTGTGCTGCATAATGAGACCTCATTAATAAAAGAAAGCCACTCCTTTCTAGGTGCCTTACCAACTAGAACCTTGCCCCTTCCATGTCTGTGCCCTGTAAGCTGTGTCCAGAGAGCAAGGCTTTCTAAACCCTTCGTGTCCCAGCATGACCTTACTCTCCCCCATTTGCCTCTCTCAGACTCCAGGACAGGTTGTCCTCACATTTCACAAGATTACTCTGCTAGATGAGAAAAACGTGCACTTTATTCAGACAGCAAGGCGAGTCGTGGGGATTGCATTCCCTGAAGAAATCAGAAGCCAAGTGTAGAAAACTTTCAAAGCTGAAATAAATCAGGGCTCCTTGGCCATGCTGCCCTACACTGTCAGGGTTTCTTTTTCTAGAAGCTGCTATGAAATAGGGTATATCGGAAGGGATCAAAAAGGGACCATCTCATTGTATCATCTCTTAGAATCTGAAAAATCTGTAGCATCTGGGACTAGCTATCTGATTTAAAATATAAATGTTTGCAAATGCTTCTATCTTGCTTGGTTCTGTAAAGATCTGCATTTGAGATGTGCTGAAGTGGCTTTTAGACACTTTTTTCCCCCCAATGCCAAGTCTGACTGTCTTACTTGTCTTTCTGGTACTCTGAAGTCATTCCTCACTTTTGCTTATATTGGGTCTTTGAATTTTTTTTATTGACTAAAATTGGTACAAAAACTGCTTAGGTCATCAGATTTTTTTATGGAAACCTATGACATCTTTTCAGAGTTTTTAAAATAAATAAAGTGTCAGTTAAAGAGAATAGGAGGCCAGGTGTGGTGGCACTTACCTTTAATCCCAGCACATGGGAGGCAGAGGTCGGCAGGTGGGTCATTGCTGACTTCCAGGCCAGCCTGGGCTACATTCTGAGACTCTGGAAAGAGAAAGAGAGGGGGGTAGGGAAGGAGAGGAGAGGGGAGAGGATGAACCATCGCCTAACACTTGCCTTAGTCTCCTTGCTAGACACAGGACGCTTTCCTAGGACTGTGCGGCTCACCTCCTCTTTCTGAGAACTAACAGTGGGGTACCCTAATGCAGGCGCGCCCTCATCACCACATATTGGTGAACGTAGAATTTAAAATGGAAAAGAAGCCAATGCATGTGGCTTCCCGGACTCTTGCTTGGACCCGAAATAAAGCGAGTCCTCGCTGCAGGGTTTGGCTGAGCCTGGTGTCTGGCGGCCGCTGTTTTCCGTGGCTCGGCCGAAGCAGACACTTCCCTTGGCGAGGTTCCTGCAGCCTCTGGAGACTTTTGAGGACGTTTCCTCCTCCCGCAGCCTTTAGTGTTTTTCAGAAGAGTGGTGGCACCCTGACTTGTCACTGAAAAGTAGTGTGGGAAAAACAAATAAAACTACCCAAGGAATAAAGGAGAAAACCCAAAACACCTCCCCTAGACAATGAAAACTCCCGTCTTTACCTCTGTTGTATGAGGCAAATGTTTCCACGCCAGTCAGGGCAGAAACTGTGAGGCACTCTTCCTCTTTGATTTTTTTTTTTTTTTTTGGTCCTATTTTTAACATTCTTTGGCAAGTCTACACATCTTGGTTACATAAGAAAATCAAAATTAAGATGTTTCGTATTTACAAAGCATGCCTTGACTGGGGATGAGTTTTGCTGGCGCTGCTATGGAAGAGCGAATTCCTGATCTTAAATAATAAGCACCCATGTCCAGTAAACCAAAACTGCCTGGCAGCTTCTCATGTCGCCATGGCAGCCCCCTAGCCTGTGCTCTCACCCTGGCGGACCACTGGTTGGCTTGCTTACTGTGGCTGAAGGGAGGTGCCAGCCAACTGGCTATAACCGGAAAGGTGCTGTTCCTCTTCCCGGTGGGGGCACAAGGTGGCTCACCCTCCTCTACAGTTCCTGAGGGGTGCTGATTGCCTACAGGGCTTCAGACCAGCTGCTGGCCTCCACTTACCGTCTTGACGGAGCAACACTGAAATCCACAGGGTATGCTCGCCCTAGAGTGTGATCTGAGCCAGGGAAAAGGGAAGCCTCTGCTGTCTGCCTTTGAGGTGGACTAGAAGGAAGGACACTGATATTTTAGGAGGGTAAGTATTCCAAGAATTAAAGCTGTTACATACTGACAGTGTGCCCGGTGGGTGCTAATGCTTTGTTGGGATGATGTTAATTCTCAGAACACACGAGGTAAGTACCTTCATGATCTCTGTTTTAAAGAGAAGCAAGGCAAAGGTTAATGATGGGATGTAATAAGCTCAAGAGCCAGCCGCTGTGGGAATCAAATCCCAGCATCCCTGTGCGCAAATCTCAGGTGCACAATTCAGCATCCAGTCTGTAGGATGCTGATGCAGCAGATGCAGAGGACAAGGAAGGACTGAGCTGTCCCCTCCGTGGGTGATGTAGATGACATACCAGCAGTGGGGAGACCGTACTTAGTTCTCAGCCTGGTTCAGGGTAGCCCTCCCGCTGTCCGTGGACTTTGGCTGTCATTCTTTCTCCTGGAATTTCAGATCCTCACATGACGTTTCCACCCTGCCTGTGTCTGAGTTTGGCTCAGGCCTGCTGTGTCAGCCCCCTGACTCAGAGTTCTTACATACTAGAAAGCAATCCAGTCAACCCATTCAGAGAGGGGAGGGGAGGACTTAAAAGGGCCGTATTTTAAACATGTACCTCAGGTGATCACCGTGTTTCGGAGGGGCTGGAAACGAGACCCAAGGAAACTTGTTGGTTGGCAGAAAACTGGTTCAGGGTGAACGAGGGTTACGTATTTTCAAGTCAGCAGCTACCACCTTCTACCCAAGTCCTCAGAGGAGAGAAAAGTCAGAGTAAAAGGAGAAATGGAGGCGGGGCTTGGGGAAAAGTACCATTCAAGAACAGAGTCAAAATGCAGATATTTACAGAGGAGCAAGGGTTAAGAATTAGCAAAAGGGTGACCTGGAACAAGATCAGTTCGTAGAAGGGTCTGGAAAGGATGCACTCTCTACTCAAGAGGCAGGGTGTGGCTGAAACTGCTTTGATGGGTTGGGACTGATGGGTGGCAGGGGAGCTCTGATTAGAGATGAACCACGTGTTGAGGCATTAGGTATGAGGAAAGAGAATGGTTTGAACTGTTGGGTGTAGAGGAAAGGCACACACGCAGTGCTCAGGGCAAAGCAGCCAAGCACTGCTTCCTCACCGTGAGGTGAAGACAGGCCATTGGTAGGAGGCAGCACCTCCACAGGCCTTGGAGGCTGATCAGAAGGGCAGAGGAAAACAGGTGGACTCCAGGGGGCCTCGTTGGTTACCTGGATGACAAAGACAAGCCTCCAGGTTCTTGGAGGTATGTGAATAAGGGCTGGGAGGGGCTGGACTCTGTGCTCCCACAGCTGAGAGGAGAATTTCTAGGTTTTTAATATCACAGATGTCCTCTGTATGACTTCATCTGAGTGGAGGGGGAAAAAGTTATGTTGTTTTAAATGGCTTAAAAAGCACCAGAAGTTAAGAAGAAATCTATAAGTCAGTCAATCAGCCAGCCAGTAGGTGCTTACCTTCTTAACTAAGGACAAGCTACTCTGGGCAGTTTTGAAGGGTGTTACTCATCACCCTCCCCTTAAGTGCTTAAGAGGCTCATATGCAGAGTGAGAACACTGAAGGCTAAATTCTCAGCCCCCGGTCTGTCATAATTGCTGGCCTTTAAAAATTCACTTTTCTGAGGATTAGGTGGGTTTAGTTTTATTTTACACCAGTTAAGAAGTTGGATTGAATTAAGCAAGTTTTCAAGAGACCTTCCTGCTGCAAAAATCTTATCAGTAACAATTCCCTGTCATGCTTGTGGGAGTGGGTATGAGGATCAGAGCTCGAAGGAGACCCGTATCAGGATGCTGTTTAGAGGCACAGACGTTGTGGGGCCAGGGGAGGAGGCAGATGCAGCAGAAAGAGCCCGAGGGAGAGCAACAGTTCATACTGTGGAGTTTGCAGTAACAGAAGTGACGGAGACAGACGGGCAGGCTCACCGCGAGAAGTCGTTCACAACCCCACAGAAAGGTCTGTACAAAGATCTACCCTAAGGGTTTGCTGGTGGTGGTGCTTTGGGGGTGTGTGTTTGTGATACATGGGGTTGGGGTGTGCATGGACAGAGGCCCGAGGAGATCTCTCTCTATCCTGCTATGGAGGAACTAGCCCCCCCCCCCCCCCCCCCCCCCCCGCCGCTTGCTTGTTGTTTTCTCTTCTTTTCCACTAGGCTCATTGGCCACTGAGCCCTGGTGATTAGCTCTCTTGTCTCTACTCCCCAGAGATGAGGTTGCCGGTGTGTGTGGCCATATCTAGCTTTTACACAGGTTCGGGAGATCCAGACTAAGGTCCTCATGCTTGTACGTGTTCTTAGCCACGGAGCCATCTCCCAGCCCTTGTCCTATATTTTTCAAGTCTTAGAGCTGCGCACTTGTCCGGAGGGGTTGACTTCTTACCGACTGTTGCAACATGAAAATATGTCAGCTGTTTACACTGACCTGGAAAACAGCATGTCCAGTGACCCTGCTGCTGACCTTTGCAAGAGGTCTCTGTTTTCTGAAAGGGTTTCTTTTGTAGATTGTGAATCATGAGTATGGGAGTGTGGTTCTTTTGTTGGTGGGAGAGAGAACTGTTTATCTGCCTGGTATTTGATCAGCAATCATTTAGATAAATGGTTTAGCCACGAAGGGCTCCTGAGTTCTGTTTTGCTGTCCTGTGTAAAGTACTTGTGCCAGAGTTATCTAAGGAGTGACTGGCCACAGGAAGTGGAGCGCATAGTGGAGTGTGAAGTCATGAGTGAGCGGGTGGACCAGATGCTGAGGGTGGGTGGATACGTGCAGTGGACCAGATGCTGCAGGCCACAAACGAGCAGCATGCACCGGCCATCTCTTCCTCTTTCTCTGCCTCTGTCCTCCTACTTCTTCACGATGACTGGAGCTGAGAAAGAGAGTTTTGAGAAAACTGAGGCAAAGCAAAAGAGCTGCTTTACCTGGATGGCTGGAAGGTTTCCCCAGTCCCCGTGGAGAACACTTCCCTTCTGGTATCAGGTTGCTGGATAGAGGTCACATACTAGAGCCTGGGCCTGTGAGACCTGGAGTTGACTCACACATGAGACTTACTCTTCTCTGGGTAATCCCCACCCAGAGCGCTGGCAGCTGGGCAGCATCTGGGATAAATGCGCCCTGTGACCAGGTCGTCGTCTCTCAACAAAGAAAACTCATGAGAAAACTGTGCTTCCCATCGTGTGGTGACTGAGCTTCCACAGACGAGGAAGTTATGATGTAAAGTCCTCCCTGAGTTTTGCCACAAGTCACTGCTGAAAAACAGCTAACTTGTTGTGGACAAGCCAATCTGCACAACTTCACACTGAGTCTCCAGGGCCCCCAATAAACAAAGAAATGCTTTCTACCTGGCTTCGAGGACGCTGATAAGAAAAGCAGATGTTAAATTAAACTACAGAACAACAAAAGGAGACCTTTCCAGTCAGATTAATACTCTTTGCTTTGTTCTGATAATTAAAAGCCCACCCAATTTTAATCCACCACCACCACTACCAATTAAAAAAAAAAACCCAAAATACCCTTTTTTGGGGGGGAGGAGGGGACAAGGACTATGTAGCCCAGACTGACCTTGAACTCTCAATCATCCTGCCTCAGCCACCTCAGGGCTTGGATTACAGATGTACACCAACACACTTGACCTCAACTTTATTTGGTATAGAAATACAGTGCCATAGTTAGCGTCGGTTTCCAATTTGACACCCCTGCAAAGAAGAAGCCTCCACTGAGGAGCTGCCTCCATCAGATTGGTCGGTGGGGCATTTCCTTAACTGCCAATCACTATAGGTGGCGCCAACCCTGGGCTTGTGGTCCTGGGTTATACAAGGAAGGTAACTGTGCAAGCCACAGGAGGCAAGCCAGTGAGTAGCGTTCCTCAGCTGTCTGCTTCAGTTCCTGCCTTGAAGTTCCTCCCTTCGCTTCCTCCGATGATGGACTGTAACCTGTAAGCCAAAGAAACCATTTCTTGGTCATGTTGGCCATGTTTATCACAGCAACAGAGACTAAAACTAGAAGAAGTCAAGTGGAAAATATAGTCCCAGATCTGTAGCTGACAGGCCTGTGAACCCAAATCCCAAATGTATCTATGTTTCTCCTTGTAGTGGTAGAGAAAGTGGCTTCTTCCATTCAGGTGTCAGGGAATTGGGCAGCAAGAAATAGCCTACTTCCTGAAGGTAGATACTTCTCAAGAGGAAGAAAAGTAAGGCTGAGTCAGCTGAGCATGCCCAGTTTATTATTCTCATAGTTAGCAACTAAACAATGTCTTCTTCTCCCCTGAGGTAACTCTAGGACAGGGATAGTCTAGTAGTCGGCTTTTAGGGGAAATTCTTCTTCATAAAAACCTCAAGTGAGCAAATGATGCTGCCCCACAGCACCGTGCAAGACTTGGTGCATTGGAGGCCGAGATGCTGAAGTCTTACAAGGGTTAAGTCAAAGAACAGACCAGATGATGTCTGGGGCTCCTACATGTCTTGAAGCTTGAGACTTGGTAATGTGAGACATCTGGGTCAATAAATTTAATACTTGTTGCTTGCCTGTCTTTACTCACCTTGCCTCCTCTGTCCCCCAGACACACCGTGATACGGGTGTCAGTACCTCATGTAACCAGTTCACCCAGGAGAGCGTGGATGCAAGCCCACATCTTTGTGGCTCTGAAATTAGGGTTGGTGCCCCCGATCCCCTGCCCTTTGTGATTGTTATAGAGCTGGCAGTTATATGCAGGCTCCATTTTCTTCCTTGTTTTATTTGTTTTGGACATGTTCAGGAGGCTAGAGTAGACAGCCCATGAATTATTTGTGTCCCTTTTCACTCAGGCTTATCTGCTTCCTACCTGTTTGCATCTAGGAGAGTGCAGTGCTGGCCACTGTCTCTTGTCTCCTGTTTCTAAGGCTGTGACCCTTTCCTCCAGCACAGTCCCTTTTCCGAAAACATGGAAACTTCGTAAGCAGTGTAGGGAGTTGTCCCTGCTAGAACAGGAGATTGCAGCTGGGTTGTGCTGAACAGTTATGTACAGTGCACATCATTTTAAAGTTTTCTGTGTGAAA